AAAAACTTTTGGTGAAAATGTATTTTTATTTAATCAGTCTATAACAGTGTTTCTCAACCTTGGCAACTTGAAGATGTCCGGATTTCAACTCCCAGAATTCCCCAGCCAGCATTCGCTGGCTGGGGAATTCTGGGAGTTAAAGTCCAGACATCTTCAAGTTGCTAAGGTTGAGAAACACTGATCTATAACATCCAGTCATATTGCTCAAAATCATTGTAATAATTTTTTTGGAACATGTGTCCACCTCTCTCATCTTTTCCTTTCCTTTTGCATGTTCTTTCTCCTTATTCAACTCAGTTATAAATTTTAGTTTGGAATGCTAAACAAAAGTATTTCATTTCTGTGTTGTAATTTATAACTACAGCATTCTATTTTTCTGAGAGCCAACTTGTAGGGCTGTGAATATATAAGTGACAGCTGCAGTCTACCCACAAATTGCATCCATGCAATCAGGATCACATTTGTTTAGCCCTTAGGGATGATACAAGGAGTGGCAACCACAAAGACAGGCAGGAGTTCAGGAGTACTTAGGGTTGCTTTTAATTCACATTTTTCTTATAATTCCATATTTCCCATCATTTATACTGTTCTTTTGAACTTGACAGATGGTGCCAATCTCCACAACCAGTAGCTTCCTATCTGACAGATGGAATAAGCTTCCTTGCGGTGGGCCAAATATGTTTGGATAGACCATTGCAGACAACAAGCTCAGTTTTGGCAAGGTAATGAGAACTGACTGGACTTTTTGATGATGTCACTGAAGGTTTAAAACCTAGTAATGCTTAAATGTAATATAAACGAAGGGAAAATGAACTTCCAAGAAACACTGGGCAAAATGTTTGATTACACCAAGACTTGCAGAACTCTTTGGATGACTAGCAGAGGTGGTATTCAGCCAGCTCTGACAGGTTCTGGAGAACCGGTAGTGGAAATTTTGAGTAGTTCAGAGAACTGGCACATAGGCTGTAGTGCCATTGCCTCCTCCCAGCTGATCTTCTTTTGTTGCCCTGAACAGGAGAATGGATCTGGAAAGCAGGTTAGTGGGTTGGGGAGGGAATGAGAATTTGCAGTAACCTTCCCCCAAGAGTGGGAAGGGAATGGGGATTTTGCAGTATTCTTCCCCTGCCATGCCCACAAAGCCACGCCCACAGAACCGATAGTAAAAAAATGTGAATCCTACCATTGATGACTCAACTTTTATATTAAAGAGTGGGGACAAAACTACCAAGACCTGATATAATCAACTGCCTGTAAGTGTGGTCCATAAAGCCTCAAATTAAAATGTTACCACATCACCTAGACTTATCAGTCATAATTTTATTAGTCTCCGACTCTGATTTCAGGATAATCATCTCCTATGTAGGATTATATATTACTAGCATAAAAAAATAAAGTAACATATAGGACTTCTTGCATTGAAGTATGAAAAAAATAAAAGTAACATATAGGACTTCTTGCATTGAATCATGAACTAAATTATGATTTAGCTCCAAAATATCCTAGCATGAGCAAAACATATTTAGGTTTATGCAAAAGGAATCACACTGCTTTCCACCAAGAATACATTCTATTGCCCAGAAAAAGTACAGAAACTCTTTTTAGCCATGAGAAGAAGAAAAATCCAGAGGTTCTTAGTGTGTAGAAACTTTGAGAAGGCTTCTCAATGATGGAAGTCTTTGGCTTTTCAGGTTTATCAAGGCAAGCACTGTTGATGTATCTTTCTGTCAAGCTGCCCAAATCAAGTGGAAACCAAATCCTAATGCAACTTTTGTTCATCTTTTAACAAACCTGTTTTGGTTTAGTATTTTGCCATTTGCTTTATTTCATGCTGTTCCATTTGACTCTTTATTTCTCAGGGTTTTCTTCCAATGAATAGCTGCCGGTAATGTGCATAACTAGTAGTAAAGCACTACATACCATCTTTGTCTTCTGTTGTTTTCTTTTAAGGATGTTGTTTCTGGTGTGTGGGTTGTGTTTCAGCAAATCCTTGTTGATTTTAGCATTGTTTTCCCTTTAATTCTGAAAGAATTCTTTATTAGAAGTAACAATAGCTGGTTTGGGTATTTTTTTTTCCTTTTTTTAAATTCTCTACTGGAAATTCTCAAAAAAATATAGATGTACTAGATTTTAAATAAACCATACATCCTCTGTATTTCATATTGTCTGCTAATTTTAACATACACATGTACTTCAACTTGTTAATAACTTGAATTCTTGAACCAATTATAATTCTGTACTTGAAATTCTTTAAACAGATGTTTATTTTTACCCCATTCCAGTGAACAAATTTAATCACAAAGATTGAAAGAAAACCAATAATAATACAAAATCAGAAATAAAGGGCTAATCACAAGCAAATTATAATTATCTGAACCTTCAAATTAGGGAAAACAAGGGAACACAATTTGGCTGACCTTTCAAAGTTCTTCCCAAAATTTCAGGGTAGAGAAACACCGTAGTGGCTTATTTCGATTTCTTCAGAAGGAGGATAAATTATTTGATAGTTTAGCAACAGTAGGATTGCATTACAAACAGGAAAAAAAATCTCTCGTAATGTTCTCCTTCAACATAAATTATGTTGCCAGAAAAATTTCATACTACTGGAAAGAGATTTATATAGTGAAGCATTCACATATCTCTTGGCTACATCTCCCTCATTAAGTTAGCCCAAGTGTACCATACTCCTTTCTTGAGAATTTCTGTGAAATTGTCTTCTTTAAACAAATTTTAACAGCAACTTTCTTTTCAAATTAAATGAGAAAAGCTTCAGGAGAATTTTTCTATTAGACACTATTCAAAATATAATTGAAGGACCACACTACTAATTATTTAATTTATCCTTACATAACTTTTATGTGCGTACTATACTGTCATGCAGCATAAGTTAAAATTTCTAATTTGGGTGTCAGAATGTTACAGGACACTTCAATCAGAAATGAGTCATAATCAAGCACAAATCTATGTTCCCTTTCCCTTTAATTTCTGTTTTACAACCTTGATCCCTTTATTCCAAATTCTATCTAGAATAAGATAGAACAACTTAAAACAATAATTATATTGTGCTAAATTTATAAGCACAACACCTGGGTAAGAAAATCATTTTTAGAACTATCCACATTAGGATGAAGAGCATAATTAATTTTGGAAAAAATAGCATTACAGCTTTTTGACACCAAGCCTAACTTAAACAACTTTTTTATCCTCTCGAGAATCTGCTTTATTTAGACCTTCAGAGCTACTGGTATTAGAACAGACCTCACTCACTTACACCCTCAGTGACAGGATTGGTTTAATTATTCTATAACAATTCCTGAAAATGTGAGTTCTGCTCTGCGTAATTCTGGCTCAGGCAGTTATACAACAGCTTCTGGCAATTTACCTCTTTGTTGAACAGGCCTAGTACAGCCCTGCTGAATATTTAACCTAAAACTTCCCTTTCTTCTCAGTCCAATTATACTTGTTCCACCCTCATTGACTAATGAGAATAATTGATCCTTGTCCTCTTTATGACATTCCTTTATGCTTCCTGTTCTCGTGGGCCCCGTCCGTTCTTCTACTGAACTTGGCAAGGGACGCCAAGTTATCTTAACCTTTCCTCTTGGATGACATGCCTTGCCAAACACTTTTAATACCATCTCTCTTGCCTTCTTCCAGAATCCTTTGAGCTCTTTACATGATTGGCTAAATTGCTTCTTTTTTTTCTTTTCTTTCCTCACAAAGGTTTAGAGTCCAGATCGGATTGTTGCTTCCTTTGTCATGTTAAGCTCTAACAGTTGCAACAATTACTTCAGCAAAATGACTGACCTCCTACTAATACCAAAACCCCAATTACTGCCAAAATGTTTAATAGGCATACGAAATTGTACTCAGAATATTCTAGAGGAGGGGACAGATTCACTCAGATGAAGCCATAATTATTTTATTTTATTGCCTGGCATATACTTTTTTCCACGGATTAAAATTTTACTCACGTACAGCACAGCTGTGTTGCTATACCTCGCTTTTATTTCACCCTGACTTCCTTCCTACTTGCTTCTGTTGGCCCCTTTTCCACATCAGTGACATTTTCCAAATATTTTCCAACATTGCTAACATTTGTTTGGCAGTGAGAGTACTGAACGTTTTACAGACCAAGATTGAACATGTTTCCTCAGAAATAAAATCCTATGCAGTTCAAGCTTACTTCCTAGTAAAAAAGACTATAATTTGAATCTTAAAGTCTTTTCATCTTGGTGCTTTGGGGTTAGGCTGGAAGGACTGTTGCAGCCTAACACACCAAGGAGGTGCCAGGTTGTGTCTTTCATTTCTTATGTGTTTATTAAAACAATGTCATCTAACGGGACCTAGGATGTGTGCCATTTCTGCTATGAAGCCTGTCTTGTGGAACAGCATCCTCCATGAGATTTAGATGGTCCTAATCCTGCTGGTTTTCATGACCTGGCCTTTCTCTTGGGCACTGAGTTCAGGATGCTACAGGGAACTGATAGCAATGACTTTGTTTCACTTGGTGAGGTGCCTTAATCATTTTAAATTAGTGCTTTCATTTGTTTATATTGTATTGTTGTTGTTGTTGTATGTTGTTAGTTATACAATCTACCAATAGTTCTAACTGGAATTGCTACTTTTGACTTCCCATAGATCCTTTCCAAACATCTACAATAGTTAAAGATATTTTTATTTATGTTTTTATTTATTTGATTTTTATAGCCACCCATCTCAGCAAGTGTCTCTGTAAGATTCTCACAATACATGTGCTAGTCCAAGTAATAAACCTTTTGGCAATTGATGAGTTGAGATTCTCTCAATTTCTATTATTTTAAAGTGCTTTTGCAGATTTTCTTGGTGCATTATTGTTGGTCGTACAGACAGTCAAAGGTTTAGATTGGATTTTGTATTTTTATCATCTTCACAAGGAACTGGGATAGACAGATGTTGTTGTTTAGTGGTGTTAAGTGTATCGTTTGTGTTAAAGGGATCATTGCAGGATGTACGTTCCAACTAAAGCTTCCTTTTGCAATTGATTGATGGTGATTTTGATTGCCATTATTTGCAGTTTATATAGTTTTCTTGCAACAGCTAATTGATGATCTACTGTTTCTTCAGCTTCTTTGCAGAGATTAAATTTGCTGTTTGCCTTCTCAATTCCAGCTTTACGTGAATTTGTTCTTAAGGCTTGGTCTTTTCCAGCCTAAATTTGCCCATCTGCCTTTTTGTTCAATTTTCCTGCTTTTAGCTATTCCCATGTCTTCTTGTTATTTGTTCTGTCTCCTAGTTTTTTAATTTACTGACTATGTAGTGGGTTGCCTTGCCATATCTCCTTTATATTCTTTCCTGTAAACCATTTTGGTTTCTGGGGCATTCAATAAGCTTTCATGATGTACTAGCTTCAGTGGATCGTCTTCACTGTCCTTCAGATACTCTTCCAATATTCTTTTTTCTTCTTCAACTCTATGTGCACTTGAAACATTCTACACCCACCAATTTTCCTTGGTAAGTAGAATCTGTCAACATCACTGCATGAGGTTCATCATCATGATTTTTCCATCCTTCCTATTTAAAGGTTTTAGTTCAGCTTGAATCCGGTCTGCTGTTCAGGCTATGTATCTAATGACTGGAATTGTCCAAGTGTTAATTTCCTTGATGGTATTTCCTCTACTTCGACTTTAAGACCTTCACTTACTTGATATACTCACTTCTAACCTTCTTCTTGACTTCAGTGTACTTGGTGTTGTTGTCTTGAAGGATGCCCAGATATTTATAGTGATCTCCTTCATCTAGACACTTGTTGTTATTGCCATAGAACATCTTGATTCCTTCGGTTCTATTATTTTTCCCCTGTTGAGGCAAATGTGGCACATTTGTCCAGTCCAAACTCCATTGCAATATCTTGGCTCTATATTCAGACAGGATTGAGCAACGATACTATTTCAGATGATGTTTTTACATACGGCTTCAGATCATCCATGTAGAGGTGGGGTAGTCTGATACATGTTTTTGATGTTTGATAGCCATGCCCCAACTTATTCAGGATTGATGAC